CCGGGCCCGGCGACCATGCCCCGCCTCCCGCGGGCCGCGCTGCTGCCGCTGCAGCTCGCCCTGCTCGTGGGCGCCGGGGCCCCCGAGGCGTCGGTGAGCGCGCCGCGGAGCCTGGTGTGGGGGCCCGGGCTGCGGCCCGGCGTCGTCCTGCCCGTGCGCTATTTCTACCTGCAGGCCGTGGACTCGGAGGGCCTGAACCTCACTCGCTCGCCCCCAGGTAGCGTTGAGCCGCCGGCCTCCGCGCGCCCCGGTCCCCGCCGCCTGCGTGGCGTCCTTCCCCCCCCCCCCCCCCGGCCGCCCTTCCCGCGGGTCCGGCCGCCTCCCTTGGCGCCCCCGCCTCCCCGGACGCACCGGAAGGGCATCGCAGGGCGAAGTCCACTGAGTGAGTGATTGAGTGAGTGAGTGAATGGATGAACTCCCAGGGCCCTAACTGGGACGAGGCGTGGGCCCTGGGGTCCAGCTGCAGGCGCTCGGCGAGGCCGGGGACTCACACGCCCTAGCCGACCACCCCAGCTGTGACGCAGGGAGCGCCCCCACGCGGTGAGTCATCCAGCCCCAGAAATCCTCGCATTCCGTGGTCGAGGCCTGGTGGCTTGGGGACAGCCGAGTCCTAGCCCCCGGGGAGATGTCAGAGCAGTGCGCACAGGGGGCGTGAGTGCGAGATGTTTGCCTTCTCAGTTTGGAGTTGTCACCAGCAGCTTGCAGGAATTAGTGAAACTCTCGGCCCGCACGGTGGATCTTGTCCTGAGTCCCGTCCCACGCTCTCCTACACGTCTTGCCTTTGCAACGTCTTAACGACTTGTCCTGGTGGTTTCTGGGTGTTGCCAGTCAGGATTTGCTAATTTATGTCTAATTTATGTTCAGCCAACTGGCATCCTGTTGTATCAACCAAGAGGCAGTAGAACCCGGCACTGCTTCCATCGCCAGTGGGAAACCATGACTGCTTGTTTTTAGTTTTAGAAGGACTTTACATGGCCCTAAGGATCGGAACAAAAGATTCTTTTTTTAATGTTTATTTTTTTGATGTTAATTTATTTTTGAGAGAGACAGAGAGACAGGGTGAGCAGGACAGGGGCGGAGAGAGAGGGAGACACAGAATCTGAAGCAGGCTCCAGGCCGGGAGCTGTCAGCACAGGACCAGAAGTGGGGCTTGAACCCACAAACCTTGAGATCATGACCTGGGCCGATTTTGGACACTCAACCGACTGAGTCACCCTGGTGCCCCTTTTTATTTATTTTTGAGAAAGAGAGAAGCAGAGAGACAGAGAATCCCAAACAGGCTGCACCCCGCCACCCACTGTCAACGCAGAGGTTGATGGGGGCTCAGACTCACAAACAGTGAGATCATGACTTGAGCGGAAATCAGGAGTCTGTCTCTTAACCGACTGAGCCACCCGGGTGCCCCAGAATAAAAGATGCTTAAACCCAGGTTCGAAGTCTTCCACTATGGGGTGTTAACTATAGAAATATAGAAAAGTATAAAGTTTACTTTCTAAAATTAATTTTACAATGTTATAATGGGGTGCTTTAGAAAGAAAAGGGAAAACTAAAGACAAATTAATTTATACAGGAAAAAAGAAAATTACATGATCCAAAATGGCATGCTGCTAATCTTACTATTAATGAAAGAGCTATACATTCAATTAAAATTCTAATTTTTAATCTAAAAATATTGGCAAAGGGTTTTTAAGCGGTAATACTCAAAGCTGTTAAGGGAGCCTCTGGAGACTCTCAGTGACCTTCATGCTTTTCAGGTGGCAGCCCAAATTGCCAAAAAGTTTCTGGAAAGCCATTTTCCAAATGTACCAAGAGTGTTAAATATGTAAAAATTGAATGTACAAAAAGATAACGTTCAACAGTTAGAGAATATAATTTCTAAAAAGATGTCATTTGCAGACAATGTCCATGCCCTTTAATCTAGTAATCTGATTTCTAGGTATCTGTCCTGAGAAAATGGTCAGAATGCGATTTACATGCAAGAAATTCTTGCTGCGTTGTGATTACTTATGGCAACAAATTTAACTAGCCAACTATAAGGTAGTTGCTAAATAAAGTTTGGTACATTCATGTGATGGAATGTTTGACAGCCCATTAAACTGAACATTTTAGATTCCACTCATAGGAAGTATTTAAAATAGTTAAATTCATAGAAACAGAAAGTAGGATGGAGGTTGCCAAGGGCTGATGGAAGAGGGAAATGGGGAGTTGTTGAAAAGGTATGGTATAAAGCTTCAGTTTTACAAAACGAAAAAGGTGTAGAGATTTGTTGCATAAAAATGTGAATATACTTAACACTACTGAACTGTACACTTAAAAATGGTTTAAGCAGCCAACTCTTGATTTCGGCTCAGGTCATGATCTCATAGTTAATGGGTTTGAGCCTCACATTGGACTTGAGATTCTCTCTCTCTCTTTCTCTCTCTGTCCCTCCCCAGCTTTCTCTCTCTCTCTCTCAAAAATAAATGAATAAACATTAAAAAAAAGAGAGTTTAAAAAAATGGTCATGATGATCAATTTTATGTTATATGTTATCACCATGATTTTTTTTAATTTTAAAAGATTATTTAATAATGCTTATACTAGGGGCGCCTGGGTGGCTCAGTCAGTTAAGCGACGACTTAGGCTCAGGTCAAGAGTTATCAGAGCCCTGCCTTGGGCTCTGTGCTGACAGCTGGGAGCCTGGAGCCTGCTTCGGATTCTGTGTCTCCCTCTCTCTCTGCCCCTCCCCCACTCATGCTCTGTCTCTCTCTCTCTCTCTGTCAAAAATAAATAAACATTAAAAAATTTAAAAAAAATAATGCTTATACTACGTTATCAGTAGACTAAACAGGAAAGAAATTATATAGTTTCCTTCTAATTTTATAATAAATAGATGAAACTATAGCTCACTCATTAGTGTTCTCAGTGGTTATAGCAAGAGAATAAGGATCTCTTTTACTCTTTTTTCAACGTTGATTTATTTTTGGGACAGAGAGAGACAGAGCATGAACGGGGGAGGGGCAGAGAGAGAGGGAGACACAGAATCGGAAACAGGCTCCAGGCTCCGAGCCATCAGCCCAGAGCCCGACGCGGGGCTCGAACTCACAGACCGCGAGATCGTGACCTGGCTGAAGTCGGACGCTTAACCGACTGCGCCACCTAGGCACCCCTACTCTTTTTTCCCAGGAAAATCTCCCCCCAAATAATCTTAATGTTTTCATAACCAGGAACAATTCATAAAAACCAAAAGATTTCACCAAGTCTTTTCAGACACCCTCAATTTCGTACCCTTCGATTCTCCCTATTTCCTATCATGCCACTTGATTTTTGGCTTCTATTAAATGGCTGTCCTGTAGTTCTGAGAAGCTCACCCAACCAGTTTTTTACATCTCTACCACCATTATTCACTTGCAAATCCCGAAATTTTCCCTTCTCCAGGAACTTAATGAAAAAGAAGCAATTAAAAAATGTTTTTCAGTTTTATTTTAGACAGAGCATAAGCATGGGAGAGGGGCAGGGGGGGGGTGGGGGAGAGACAGAGAGAGAGAGTACCTTAAGCAGCTCCACACTCATTGCGGAGCCTGATGTGGGGCTCAGTCCCATGACCCTGGGATCATGAGCTGAGTTGAAATCAAGAGTCATGGCAGCAAATGTCAGAAGAAAGCCGGAGTGGCCATAATTAGACAAACTAGATTTTAAAACAAAGGCTGTAACGAAGAGATGAAAAGGGCATTATATTATAAAGGGTTTATCTGTCAAGATCCAACAGTTGTAAAAATACATGCCCCCAACTTGGAAGAAACCAAATATATAAATCAATCCTAAACATAAACAAATGTATAGATAATAATACCAAAATTGTAGGGGACTTTAATACTCCACTTAGAGCAATGGACCGATCATCTAAGCAGAAAATCAACAAGGAAACAATGGCTTTAGATGACACACTGGACCAGATGGACTTAACAGATATATTCAGAACATTTCATCCAAAAGCAGCAGAATACACATTCTTCTCGAGTGCACATGGAACATTCTCCAGAAGAGATTACATACTGGGTCACAAATCAGCCCTCAACGGGTACAAAAAAATCGATATCATATCATGTGTATTTTTCACAACACTGTAAAACCACAAGAAAAAATTTGGAAAGCCCTCAAATACATGGAGATTAAAGAACATCCTACTAAAGAATGAATGGGTTAACCAGGAAATCAAAGAAGAAATTAAAAAATACATGGAAGAAAATGAAAATATAAACACAACAGTCCAAAATCTTTGGGATGAAGCAAAGGCAGTCCTAAGAGGGAATATTGCAATCCAGGCCTATCTCAAGAAGCAAGAAATGTCCCAAATATACAACCTAACCTTAAACCTAAAAGAGCTGGAAAAGGAACAGCAAATAAAGCCTAAAGCCAGCAGAAGAAGGGTAATAACAAAGATCAGAGCAACAATAAATGATATAGAAACAAGCAAAAAAACAAATTAGAACACATCAGTGAAACTAAGGTCTGGTTATTTGAAAGAATTAACAAAATTGGGGCACCTGGGTAACTCAGTCAGTTAGGTCAGGTAAGAGTCAGACTTTGGCTCAGGTCGTGATTTTGCCATTCCCAAGTTCCAGCCCCACGTTGGGCTTTGTGCTGACAGCTCAGAGACTGGAGCCTGTTTCAGATTCTGTGTCTCCCTCTCGCTCTCTGCCTCTCCCCATTAAAAAATAAACATAAAAAAAAAAAAAAAAAAAAGAGGTGGCTCAGTCATTTAAGCATCCAACTCTTGATTTTTGGCTCAGGTCATTATCTCATAGTTAGTGAGTTCAAGCCCCACATTGGGCTCTGCACTGACAGTGCACAGCCTGATTGGGATTCTCTCTCTGCCCCTCCACTGCTCATTCTGTCTCTCTCTCTCTTTCAAAATAAATAAACTTCTAAAAAATGTAAAATAAAAAAAAGAATAAAAAAATTGGTAACCCCCTAGGCAGACTTATCAAAAAGAAAAAGGAAGGACCCAAATAGATAAAGTCACAAATGGAAGAGAAGAGATCAAAAACAACACCACAGAAAGACAAACGATTACTAGAGAATACTATGAAAAATTATATGCCAACAAACTGGGAAATATGGAAGAAATGGGCAAATTCCTAGAAACTCAAACTACCAAAATGGGAACAGGAAGAAATAGAGAATTTGAACTGACCCCTAATCAGCAAAAAAAATGGAATCAGTAATCAAAAATCT